CAGAGGTAAGAGTTTCCCATACCACGTTACTCACACTGCCCCCTGCAGTACCTGGGTTTTTGGGTGCTCTGCCCATCCAAGTACTGATTCAGGCTCAAGCCCACTTACCCTGTGACCTTCTGTGCTCTGGCTCCAAGGGTGCATCTGAAATCCCCTCCACCACCACCCCCCTCCCCCATGTACCAGCGGCCTTACCTTGTGGAAGCGGATGACTGGCTCTGGGTGGATGCGGATGATGTGCAGGCACCAGCGGTAGCCCTGCAGCAACTGTGCAAACAAGCGGAGGAAGACAGCTCGGATCTCCTTGTCCTGCAGCAAGAGAAGGACCGAACAGTCAGGCCCTGAGAGGACAGCAGAGGAAGCAGCCTGAGAGGATGGGGCCAGAAGCTTGGCAGCAGAGATGCCTCGTCAGGAAGAGACGGGCTCCGACCCAGCCGCCAGACCCAGCACCCGCCAGGCAGGAAACACGAAGGGACGACGGGAGGAAAGCAGGGGCTGGGATGGAATGGGGAGGGGGAAGGAAACCCATGCCCCCTCCCTCTGCACCGAGCAGAGGCAGAGGGAGGTCCGTACGTTGCTCACAGTGAAACAGGCCCTTCACAGTTCAGTGCGGCTGTAACGCTACGGTGTCTGCTGACGAAGCTGTCCCCAGAGCACCAGATGAGGGTGATTTCCAGCTCCTGCCGAGAGCTAGGGAGCTCCATATGCACAGGGGAGGCATATCCATAGGGAGGCCAACATGGAACCCTCCTCTCTAGCCCTGTAAACACCATCTCCTGCCCAGCTATTGGCAACACCACTGTCGGCTCCTTAACCAGCACCTAGATGGAAGCTTCAGCCCCACCTTGCTCCTGGCCCTGGAAATAAAGAGCAGCCCCTCCCAACCCCAGCAGGGAAAGCAGCTCCTCTGCAACCCCACGCCCTCAGAATGGGCACTCAGAAGGGACACACTCGAGTACAAACGCTTCTTCCCAGGCCCCTCCCAGCTCCTCAACTCACCTGCATTTTGAGGGAGGGGGCAGAGACGGTTGATGGGGGGAATGCTAAGTCTGCTATCTCCAGCTCAGGGTCCAAGATCTGCAGAGACAAGCAGAGAGCATGCTCAGAGAGGAAGCCCTAGCCCTCTGGGAGTTCAACCACCACAGCTGGAAGAGGCCAGGACTTCGTCAATGGACCACGGAGCAGCTGGCACTGGGCCCTGCCCTGCAGTGAGCCCTGGGAAGTGGCACTCTCCAGAGAGAGCACCAGGCCCAGAGAGAGACATGGTCCTGCCAGCCTTGGGGATCAGACCTGAAGAGGCCTGCAGGCCACAGTGCCTTTGGACTGGGGCAGGAATTGCAGGATGGAGTTCTATAGCCTGCATCACACAAGCCCAACTAGATGAACGTGAGGGTCTCTTCTGCCCTTCAGATCTAGCGGATAGCTCCCTGCAGCTTCACAGGGCACTGCCTAGGGTTGCAGCCCTGGAGAAGCCTCCTCAGACAAGTCACTTGGCTTGGGAGAGGGGATGGGAGCTCCGGGAAGTTTCCATGACCCTGCCCACTATCGCCTCTCTGCTTTGGCTTCAAGCCCTGTTCTGTCAGTAGGCTGCCCATAATGAGAATAGTCTCCACGTCTGACTGACGTTGCTGAGGTGCTGGGCTCCCTCGTAACCAGGCGCACTGTAACTTCAGAGCAGCAGCTGCTGATCAGAGGCCTGGCTCCTCAGTGCGGACAGAGATTCTTCTATCCTGACTGAATAGACAGGCACCAATGCAGGGGACTGCCTGGAAACCACCACCTTTCCTGAGCCACATTCTGCAATCAGCATCAGCGAGAGCTGCTAAGGCCATGTTGTTCTGGACACACATGCCCAGGGTCACAGCCCCTCTGGGACCAGCTAGCACCCATGCAAGGAGCTCCAGGGCTGGAGTGGTTTCCTGTTTGGAGAGTGAGGACCATTCACAAGACTCCCAGAAACCTGAAGCAACTGCAGGTGCCGAACCCCAGCACCCCAGTGTGCCCTGCGGGGAGGAAGGAAGCATGACAAACCTCAAGTGATATGATCACAACCTCCCGAGACGTGGGAAGACTCCCTATTCAGGCTCTGCTGCTGTGCCTGATCTCACTCCCAACACCTGCCCACAGGGTCCTGGCCACATGCCTCGAGTGCTATAGTCACACCCATATCAGGAACCTCTTGAGACGGGAAGGGGATCAGTCCTGGGGTCCCACACTTACCATGGAGAGGGCTTCTCGTGTCTGATGGAGCAATGGCTCAGGCAGCAGGGAGATGTGAATGCACTCTGGGATGGTCACCGTCCCACCATCCAGATCTGCTATGACGACATCCAACTGAAAGCAGCGAGGCAGGCGTGAGCATACAGACTGGACAGGCTGAGTGCTCCCCACCCAGCTGAGTGACCCAGCAAAGGAGCTGCATACAGCTCTCTTTTTTTGGGGGGGGGGTGGGGAGGTGGGGGGAGGAGAAGAGGGGGGAAGGAATTTGTACTTAACAGCCTCCCCCCCCGCATAATCTGGTAGAGCCTAGAGCACTTTACAATCCCTATAGCTTCTTACACAGAGCCCATTGCCACGGTACTTGAGCACTCGCTGACATACGAAATACGCCTGGGGAGCACGTCACCCGCTGGGGTGAAGTGCAGCAGCTGTGTAACGGCCACAGGAACGCTGCACACCAGGGCAGGACAGGAGGCAACACCACCATTTCCGTCTGAACCTAACAGCAGGGGGGAACCAGGAACTGCACAAATCAGGGTGCTACCAGGACACCGGGTTCACAGCTGCACTCTTAGGGGAAGTGCCAGGGGACCTTACCACAGTTCAGGACCTTGGCTTTACATCTCACTGAGACAGGGCACTGAGACAGTACTGACCTCACCAAATGAAACACCAGTGCCAATCCCGCAGAACCCACAGGCTTGTCTACGTGAGGCTGGCCGGTTTAACAGGTAATTTAAACCAACTTAGTTGAAGCAGTTCAAAAGGCCGGGCAGGCACTCTTGTTTCGGTTTAAATCAGGCTTATTTCAGTTTAGCTTAGAACTGACTTAACTAAGGGCTTGGTCTATACTGACAATTTACAGCGCTGCAACTGTCTCGCTCAGGGGTGTGAAAACACCCCCCCGAGCGCAGCACGTTTCAGCGCTGTGAGGCGCCCGTGTAGACAGTGCCCCAGCGCTGGTAGCTACGCCCCTCGTGGAGGTGGTTTGTTTAGAGCAGTGGGAGAGCTCTCTCCCCTGTGCTGCGCCGTGACCACACAAGCCACGTTGAAGTGCTGCAAGTGTAGACTAGCCCTAAACCCAAACCAGGTGCTCAAAGCACAGTAAGTGCCCACACAGCCGTCTCAATTATGGAACTTACTGCATCTTCAGTCACCGTCATGGAGCTAGGACCCAAGTCCCAGGCAAGCCCAGCCCCGGCCCAGCCCTGCTTGACTGGTGAGACACGCCTGGATCTCAGCCCCGGCCGGTCTGACTGAACAAGTGCAGCCTGTTCCAGCAGGGTTTGTTCATCCCCGCACTCCCATTCCCACTGGCACATGACCTCTTGCCCCTCCCTCAAGAGCTTGGACCCAGGAGGACTGGAGCAATGTGCAGGGGAGGGGAAGAGTTACTGCACAGACGGGGTTACGCAGCGCCTCACCAGTTCCTGCGTCTCCGAGTGGAAGATGGAGCTGACTCCAATGATGAAGGGTGTGGGAGTGCTGAGCACCTCAAGGAGCTGTGCAGGTAAGATGGGCACGTACGTGAAACTGTAACCAAAGCAGATCGTCACTACAGCCAATCAGGAGCTACGCTGGGCCCAGCGTCTGGCTACACGACCCCGCTGCACCCTGGCCAAGCCAGGCTCCAGAGCCACCCGGACAGTGCAATAGTCCCCCAGGGAAATGATGGCGCCCACATCACACAAGTCATTTCAAACCGGCCTGGTGAAAGTCCTGGGGAAGATAGCCCAAGGAACAACCCTGACCCAAGATGGGACCCACGCTAATAGCCAGTGGATAGCGAGTAGTGGTGTCAGGGCCCTTCTGCCATGGCAGGCACTCTGAACTGTGCGCCTCACAGCTAGGGGGGCTTCTAGGTTTGTAAAGGGCCCCGCAGTCATGTTATCTGGCTCTAAAGTTACAGTCAGCCTGTGCCCATGTCCAGTGCTTCCAGCTCGAGGGGAGGAGGGTGTACATGCCAAAGGAATATATTTATATTTAAAATGTAAAGAACCCTTCTCCAGTGGCACTGGCAGCCTGGAACTAGAGCAGGCAGCTAGCAGCGACAATGACACATCTATCTTCACTGCCCTACCCTGGAGGGGTGCAAACAGTGAGCAGCGTAGGAGATGGAACCCTGTCCTGGGCTGGGAAGCGAAGTCAGGTCACTGTTTGAGCCAGTCAACATCTCCCCTTCAGGGTGGGGTGAGCAGGGCGCCCAGCCGTCTCACTAACGAGTGCCCTGCATGCAATCACCCTTTCGGGGGGGGGGGGGTCACTGGGGGGGGTCAGCTCTGGGGGCTCCTGGAGTCCTGCGGATTTCCTCTACCCCCATTCAATCAGGTCACTGGTGGGGTGAGCCGGAGAAGCCTTACAGCAGGGCTCTGGAGGTCTGCACTGCCTGCAGAGTGACTTAGGCATGGAGTGTATCACAGGGGAACCCCAGAGGGCCCAATCCTGTAAGTGCCAAGCCTTTACTGAGCTCAGTGAGAGCTGATCACACTCGGCATCTGCAGCACCTGGCTACCTGAGACACCCCCCTCTCTCACCAGGAGGCCGTGCGGCAGCTGCAATCAGTTCATGCTCACAGCTCCTTGGGCTCAGAGGAAGCAGCTGGCAGGGGCCTTCAGCGCTGAAACTCGCTCCCTCTCTGATAGTCTAGAGCCCAAATTTTGCTCAGGGGGTGCGGAGCTGGGGTTATTCGTGTTATTTTGCTGTTGAGGAATTTAATTATAATAGACGCCTCTAAAGCCATGGACAGGAGCTTTCAGTGCAGCCAGAGAACACGTCTCTGATTTGATTTCACCTGGCCGTCCCCGATAGTGCTTGGCCTACAGTAATCAGCCACACTAATCATGGGACTTGGACACCATTAGTGCACGGAGCCAGATGGAGGCACGGCACTCTGCAAAGCCGGAGACGGGCTTTGCA